ACCATGGAGTCTAAAAGTTTCAAACTGAGCAGGACCCAGACAGAATACTTGGAGTGTAAGTTCAGTAGTAAGACTCAGGGAGGGGAAGAAGAGGTAAGGCTGGACTCGTAAATCATTCCTAGGAGAAGAAGTTTTAAGTACCTTGGGTCTAATATTCAGGGGGATGGGGTGATTGATAAAGATGTCACACATCGTATTGGGGCTGGATGGATGAAATGGAGACTCGCTTCTGGTGTTTTGTGTGACAAGAAGGTGCCACCAAAACTTAAAGGTAAGTTCTACAGAATGGTGGTCAAGTCGACTATGTTGTATGGGCCTGAGTGTTGGCCTGTGAAGATCATTCATGTCCAGAAGATGAAGGTAGCAGAGATGAGGATGTTCAGATGGATGTGCGGGCACACCAAGCTAGATAGGATCAGGAATGAGGTTATTCGCGACAAGGTGGATGTAGCCCCTATTGAGGACAAGATGCGGAAAACGAGGCTTAGGTGGGTTGGACATGTGAATAGGAGGAGCACAAATGTCCCGGTGAGGAGGTGTGAAAGGTTGACATCGGAGGTCTACGAAGAGGTAGAGGTAAGCAGAAGAAAAAGTGGGGAAAGGTCATTAGGCAAGACATGGCGGAGCTTCAGCTAACCGATGACATAACCCTTGATAGAAAGATGTAGAGTTCGAAGATTAGGATAATAAGGTAGGTGGTCTAGATTGTTCATGCCGGTAGTAGTAGTAGTAGCAGTACGCACTGTCGCATTCTGTTGGTAGTAGGTTTCTTTGACTACCCATTGTAGACATGTGATTTTTGACCCTCCCCAAGATTTTTCATATTTTAGCACGTAAATATTTAATTTAGGTCTGATATAGCTATTTCAACTCATTTTTACTCTTTTACATATTTTATTACAAGAAAATAAAAATTACAAAAAATATTTATTTTATGTACCTTTCATAAAGTAAAAAAAATACAAAAAATAGTACCTTATTTTTATCTTTATATAATCATGAAAAATACAAAGAAAAATGTAATAGTTTCATATTTTAATATAGTTTAGTTTAATTAATTTGAATTTATTTTTGCATCATGTAGTATAGTTATCTTATATTAAGGGAATTTAGCTATGGTTTTAAATAATAATTTTTGGAGTATTCTTAGCCCAAAATTGAGACACAAAAAGACATGGTCCAACTCAATTACCCTTAGCTCATTCTTCCTAACCCATTAAACCCTTTAAGTGCAAGATTTAATCTTAGTCATCTATTTACTTCTAATCTAATGGTCATCGTCATTTCCACTTCCATATAAAATACCCAATTATAAAACCCTACCCTTAAGTTTTCAAGTCCTAAATCCTTGAGGTAAGAACAGATCCCTCGCCTCTCAAAAAAATGAGCCGCACACCATTGAAGGAAACTCAATTGAAAACTCAAAAAATATAAAATAATCACTGAACTTCAAGAGAAATCGGAAGTCTAAGATGTTGCTGACAGTGAATGTACCGAGCCAGAGATTGAAAGTTGTCATACATGAAGATTGAATTAATAGAGATTAAGGAATTAGGGGAATAATTAGCCTACTGCCATAGATAATTTTGGCATATATTACAAAGGATCTTGGTTTGGTATTTAAAAGGAAAAGCAGCGACAATGTTTCTTCTTTACTTTATTTTGGACATTTCTGATTTTTTCCTCCATACATATACACATACTTGAGAGTGACGGGGTGACAGAAAATAAGGTCACAAGATTCTGAATACACATACTCGCATTTTTTTTGAGGTCTCGAGATTCTTTTTGGTTTCGATTTCAAGATTTCCCAAGAGTCTTGTCGTATCTTTAGCTGAGGTCGATTTGGGTTTCGAGCTTTTCGGTGTCGATTCGAGGTTCTGGTTTATTAATTTCGGTGTTTCGGTCCAAGGATTGTTGCTTGTTTAGCCCGACTGATTTGTAATTTTCAGCTTGGTTCATCAATAAAAGGTCGATTTCTCAATTTTCATTCTCGTTTCGTTTTGTTATGATAGCTTGGTGCGCGTGGTGGTTGATTTGTTATTCTATGTTGTTTGAGTAGCATGTCTTAGTTTTCCTTTAAATTGTTTTAACTAGTTTTATTTCGATTGCGATGCATGTAGTATTGGGTTCTTGAATAAATGCTTTTAATCGAGTAGATGAAAAATTGGAGTTGTTTCTTTCTTGGCAAGGAATAAGAATAGGCCATGAGTGGTGCTAAGTCAGAAGAATTTATAACTCTTGGCCTCACAATAATCTTAAATTAGCTTTAGAAAAATAATTATGAACATCCGTAGCTTGAGTACAATCCTTTGAAATTAGAATCGAGGTGTGCCATTATTCATTTCTCATGGCCCTCGCAAAGTTGAAGTGCATAGTTGCTTTAGGCGCGTTATTTTAAAAAACTAATTTCCTCAACTCGGGTGCGCATTTATGTGACCCAAATCCCAATTCCAACAATTTTAGATAAAATATGTCGTGGACCGTCGGTGCATTTATGTGACGTGGTTCAAGACGTGTTTTAGATGACGTTGAATTTTTTCCTAAAAATTAATTAAATAAAGCGGTTAAAGTTAAAATTGAACCATAGGTTAAAACATGTATAAAAAATCAGATAATAGGCCAATAATAGCAGTTGAGCGACCGTGCTAAAACCACGGAACTCGGGAATGCCTAATACCTTCTCCCGGGTTAACAGAATTCCTTACTCAGATTTCTATGTTCGCGGACTATATAGAACAGAGTCAATCTTTTTCTCGATTTGGAATTTGAACTGGTGACTTGGGACACCATAAATTATTTCAAGCGGCGACTCTGAATCATTAAATAAATAAATCTCGTTTCGATTGTCACTTTAAGTTGGAAAAAACTCCCTTATACCCCTTCCGGGGGTGGTAAGAAGGAAGTGTGACACCCATCATTTTCTTTCATCAAAAATTACATTGGATATATAAGGTTAATTTTTTTCATGTATAATAGTAGGTATTGAATCCACTTAGCTTCTTTGCGTGTTTACTTTTTTTATTTTTTGGAATCCTCTTGGTGAAAATCCTACTTCCGGCATCTACTTATATGATCTTAGGTAATCCTCATATCACAAGTTTAGTTTTTTTCGATTGAGTTAATCCTATGTCCATTTTATTTAATATGGTATTAGAGTCAGGCTCATATCTATTTTCAGTTAACCCAATGTTGGATCCATCTACTGTACATGTTCTAACTCAATCCCTTGACATGCAAAAATGTTAAAATGTCCAACGTTGATTGAGAGAATGATTTGTTGTCTCCTTATTTTTGGTCTTTTGATGAATCTAGCCTACTATATCTAAGGAATTTCTCCTGTTATAAATAACCAAGTTTGAGTTTAACTAAGGCCACTAAGAACAAATTTGATGGTTGCTTTTTTCCCCTTACTTTTTATTGCTCCCTCGTAAGAGAATTTGTAACTCACTATTCTTGAGCCGAGGATCTATCGAAAACAACTTCTCTATCCTCATAAAGTAGGGGTAAGGTCTACGTACACACTACCCTCCTCAGACCTTACTAGTGGGATTCCACTGTGTTTATTGATTTATCGTCGCTAATGTTTGCTTTGTTTGCTTTCGCATGACGCCTTGTTATTTTCGATTGATGTTTGGCTTAATGTATGCATATTTTGATATGTACGGCCTCACATTATGCTCATAACTTATAGATTTCGGATGTATAATATGATGATTTGTGCTCATTTGTGGTATTTCTATGTGTAGGAATTATTCGGATGCAATTTGGAACGAAATGGCGCGAATTAGAACGAAATTGGGAAGAAAAAGCAAAAAATAAAATTTGAGGGCCACGGCCAGCGTGGGGTGCTAGCTGTGGCGCAATTTACACAAGCAAAATATTTTGGGCGCCAGGGCCAGCGCCCCATGCTGCCCTGGACGCTCGGAACGTGAAGTTGTCCTATTCCGACTAGAACTTGGTTATTTTGGCCCCAAGACGTCCCCAACTCATATAAAAGTTAACCTAAACCTATTTTGAGAGGGGAGAACGTTTTTGAGAGGAAAACACAAGCATAGAGCCGCCGTGGAGGCCGGGCTTTATCTTTTCTTCTACCAAACTTAGTAATTTTTATGTTTTTTTGTATGATTTATTGTTTTGCTACCATATCTATGTGGAGTCAAACTTCACGTTCTAGGGTTATGGTTCTTTCATGACTATTGTTATTCGGATATTGATTTTGCTTTCTTAGTTTATCATATTGGTTTATTTATTCAATCTTGCGCTTAATTATTTGATTGCTTGATCACCAATTAAATATTATCTACGAATCTAGAATTGAACTCGAAAGTGAGAATTCTAGATTGCTTATAGTTGAGTAGAGCAAGTTCTTGAACCTGGGTATCGGGGAATGGATTCGCGGTTAGGATAGACATATACCTAATTGTCTTGCTTGGTTAATTTACAGGAATTATTAATGTGTTCTTGTTGATTCTAACTCCATAGATATATAGGCGTTAGGTTAGCTTGAATACGCGAGTAAGAACTCGACAGATTCTTATGAGCAATACTAACCCTATCAACCAATAAATCAGATAAATTAATTAGTCAATTCAATTGAAGAATACAATATGATTGTTAGATATCTCATAATCCTAGATCGTTTTCATCACATTGATAACATAAATGTGATATCCTTTTGTTCAGAGTTCACCATTTATTTTGATTAGTTTAGAATCGAATATTTCTAGGTTTAATTCTTGTTTAGATAATTAGGATAGTCTAATTTAGTTAATAGTTAATCACAAGTCCTCGTGGGTTCGACATCCGGTTTTTAGTCACTTTATTATTTAACGACCGCGTATACTTGCATGTGCGTTTGGCCGCAACATCGATCCCAACATTTTCCTCAGTTTTTCCAACTTTTAACTTGGAAGCCAGTAGCTTGTGTTAAGGCACAGGAACAAGACCAAAAACACATTGATGTTTTAGAAAGGAAATAATTTCAGGAACATTGACAGTTGAAAAGCAAAAGATGCATAACCTTTTTATTATATGTACATTACCTATAGTAGATTCTGAAGTCTGAAAATACATTCTTTTGTAAATTCTTAAGTTACTCACTCACTTGTGCTGGTTGTAGTAGAGCCACTAATCCATATCTCACTATTAGTAACTGATGGACTTAAGAACTTAACTTTCTTGAGCAGTGCAACTTCATCTGATTCAGGCGAAAAAGGAGGGATATTAACACTCTTAGACTTGATTAAGTTAAAACTGGCACTAGTCTCAAATGTCTTCTCATTTTGGAATTTTCCACTCTGAATATTTCTCAAAATGTCCAATACTTCATCCATTGTTGGCCTGATATCTTTCTCAAGTTGCAAGCATCGAAAAGCTAGCTTTGCGACAGAGATAGTCATTCTCTTAACAAGTGTATCTGATGTAAACCCGAGAGATGGATCAATCAGTTCATTAAATGCACATCTTTGTATCCTGTTTATCGCCAAGTTAGCCAAATTGATCTCATGCTTATGCCTAGTTATGTCCACAGCTGGCATTGATGATATCAGCTCGATAAGGACAACCCCGAAACTATAAACGTCACTTTTGTCAGTAAGTTGATAACATTCATGATACTCAGGATCGACGTATCCTGGTGTCCCTTGAGGAGCAGTGGATATGTGAGAAACGTCGTTAGGAAAAAGTCTTGACAGCCCAAAATCTGCAACTTTGACACGAAAGTTATCGTCAAGAAGAATGTTATTAGTCTTGACATCGCGATGTATCACATCAGAAGCATGGAGGTAGGCCAATGCACTGGCTGTTTCTACTGCAATACTCATACGGATTGGCCACGTGAGCAATCCCTCTTCTGCTCCTTCACCGTTGAGATGATCAGCAACTGTTCCATTAGGAATGTATTCATAAACAAGGAGAAGTTCACGGCTTCGTCTTGATGTGCAGCCATAAAGAGACACAAGATTTTGGTGCCTCAAACGAGTAAGGATTTCGATTTCATTTATGAACTGTTGCATTCTCTTGCAGTTGTGCTCATATAGGCATTTTACTGCAACTTCTCTTCCATCATATAGTTTTCCTAAATATAACATGCAACAACAATGAGATACTGAGTTTTTTCTTTTTAACATAATTCTTATATTTAAAGCTATACTTACCATAATATACAGTTCCAAAACCTCCATCTCCAAGCTCATTAGAGGGATCAAAATTGTTGGTGGCTTCTTTAAGTTCAGCATAGGAAAAAACTGGAACCTGAAATCCAAAATATCTGCTCTCTACCTCAAGCTCCCGACGAAATTGTGTAGAACCATTCCTCCCTCTCTTGCGACGCCAGATAGAGAGGATGATAATGGAAGATACTAGGATCAAACCTACTCCACCAAAAACTAGAAAACAGAAGATACAGTAATCAAAATCTGATTCTTTTGAAATATACTAATTCTAAACTACAAATGTGGTTATTGGCAACAAATATTGTTAATAACATACTATTACCTAGGTTTACCAGTAGCACTAGTACTATTCTTGTATTTTCTTATTCATGGTTCTTTATTATTACTTGATGTGTCATTTGTGTCCGTTACCATATTACATTGTTGTTACTATTGTTTGTTGCTTGGTTGCTTTATTTTCACTGTTTCTTGAGCCAAGGGTCTATCGAAAACAGCCTCTCTATCTTTATAAGGTAGGGGTAAGGTCTGCATACACACTAACCTCCCCAGACCCCACCTATGGGATTACACTGGGTTTGTTGCTGTTCACAGATAATTACCTGCAGCCAGAAGCATTCTCAGCTTACTTTTTCCTCTTTTTCCTGCAGTAAAAGAAAAAGAACAGCTATTTTAGGCAAACCTCAATAGAAAACAAGCAAAACAAGAATTTTTTACCACCAAAGTTGGGTTGATACAATAGTAAGTTTCAGTTGCTTATACCTTTGGAACAATGAAATTTGTGTTCGCGACCGATCAGGCATTTCCCTCCTTTGTCAAGACAGTGATGACAATCTTTAGACAACTCCCATTCTAGAAGAATATTAGAAGTCAACAGTTCAAACAAGTTACTAGCATATGGTTTTGATGGTGTAGGCAAAGGAATTGGCAATTGTACAATTGAACAGTGATCTGGAAGTTTGCCACTTATCTTATGACTAGAATTTCCCAATGTTTTAATGGGATGATGATAATAGACATTGAAATCTTTACACTCACTGTATTTCTCAAAATCATGAAAAAGGGCATCAGTTTTCTTTTGCATGATGTCCTGACTATGGTTGCATCTGTACAAAGTTAAGTTAGGAATAATTTGGAAAGAAATCAAAGGGGAGTTTGGAAATAAGAATTTTTTGTCAAAAGACTTGCAACTATTTTTTTCTAAGTAGTTCTGAAACTCAGGATCTGAAAGAAGGAAAAAATCACTCTTCTTCACTAAAGCATCATACTTGTGTTTACCAAATTCAATCTTTGGATATGGTTTAGCCTGACAATCAAACTTGTATAATCCGCACTCGGGGTTGCTAGAATTTGTGAAAGGAAACTTCATAACTCCAAGATTTCCGCACTCGAATTCCTCGGTGCAGTTGGATTTGGAGTTACCTTGTAGTTGAGATAGGTTAAAGATCAGTAAACAACACAAAAACAAGAAAGTAGAAGCCATACTATCTACTCCTATATGGTCTCAAAAAGCAAGAAAACAAGAAAAGAAGGATGTTAATGGTTTCTTCTGCAATATTAACCTAGTTATCTGGTTTAATTTTTCTATCAGTTGACTTGGAATTTTTTTACAAAGACTTTGAGGAAAGCAAACAAGAATCAAGTGAGGGACAAGATGGAAGAATTTTCCACTTTTCTTCCTCATTGACTATAATGTAAAGACTTGACTTGTTGACTCTTAATCTAAGAGATTTTTCTGCTTCATTTTGTCTATTTTAAGCAGTCTAATAAGCATGTATCTTCCTTCTGAAGCTGAAGGTAAGTATTTTGGCTCACATCATATTTCCATGAAACAAAGGGAAGTTGGTATGTATATCAATTACAGGTCATTTTCTAGTGAACTGTAAAGGTATTCTATTATCCACAACAACAACAAGCCAGTGCAATCCCACAAGTGGGGTCTGAAGATGGTAGAATGTACGCAGCCTTACTCCTATCCGGAAGGGCAGATATTCTGTTATCAACTAATCTGGAAAAAACTTATTGAACCTGTGAATATACGACATATATCTTTTTAATTAATATGCAAGGATTACTGACTGTTTATGCACATACCATACTTAGTTATAAGCATTCCATATACTATATATTTTCTGTCAAATGTCTTGAGTAAAGAGGATGATATTCATTATAAGCAACCTCAAAGCTAAGATAACATGGTAAATGTGTAAAAAAGGGCAATCCCGGTGCACTAAGCTCTCGCTATGCGCGGGGTCTGGGAAGGGACGGACAACAAAGGTCTATTGCGTAAGCTCATTAAATGAAGAGGTATATTGTATCTGGACCAATTCTCAGCTTCCAGGACGGTCAAGCTATAGATTGATTTGATTCTACCAAGAGAAAGGCAGAAGAAGACAATGACAAAAATGAAGGTTTGCCTTCCTGGACGTCGAGCCAAACTACAGTGAACATAACAGTCTACGGAAATGATTGTAAGTTAGCGCGGAGAGCACCTCCATTTCACTAGTTAGAATCCTCTACATTAGAAACTGTACTTAATAGTTTGAACAGCGGCTGTGGAAGCACATATGGAAGGTAAACGTTCCATACAAAGTGGCATGCTTTCTTTGGCCGGTAGCAAAGGAGGCTTGTTTAACTCAAGAAAATCTGAAGAGGAGGGGAATGTCACTGTGTTCTAATGGCCATTTGTGTGGAAAATTTTGAGATTGCCATCTGTTTCTAAATTGCAAAATGACTGCACAATTATGGGACATCTTTCTAGCAATGATAGGCCTGAGTTGGAAACAATGCCAATGGAAACTTTGGCAGAGTTGAATGATCAACAGACCAGAAAAGAAGAAAAGGGCAGCCCGATGCACTAAGCTCCCACTATGCGCGGGGTCCGAGAAAGGGTGAAGGGTCGGACCACAAGGGTCTATTGTACGTAGCATTACCCTGCATTTCTGCAAGAGGCTGTTTCCACGGCTCAAGCATAATCCCAGCTTGCATATGGTGGACTGTCTGGATGGAGAGGAATTCAAGATGTTTTGAAGATAAAAGCAACTCAATCCAGAAGATAAAACTAAATTGTACCATACTGTTCTATTTCTGGTGTAAACAGGAATATATGGATGATTCTGAGTCTCTATTAGAAGTACTTAGAGTCTCTATAAGGTAGAAGATACTTTTTGGTAGTTCATACCTTTTTGCTTCCTTCACTTTGTAATTATGGCCTACGCAGCCTTTTGTGTTTTTAATAATATAAAACTTGTTACCATTTCCCCCAAAAAAACTGTACTTAATATAAACATACAAAGAAAGAGATAATCTGGTGATTCCTTTACAGATGATGGTGCTTATGCTTTCCTGAGTCGAGGGTCTATTGGAAACCACCTCTCTATCCTCACAAGGTAGGGGTAAGGTCTGCGTACACACTACCCTCCCCAGATCCCACAGTGTGAGATAATACTGGGAATGTTGTTGTTGTTGTTGTCCTTTACAGATGATGCAATGGGTGTTTCAGTACATATTTGTATCAAGTACTTTTAGATGAACGCAAAGCGTGTAAAAGTTTCACCCGCTAATACTACTACTGCCACAGCTACTAAGCCACTTTTCAGTTACAGAAATTGGTGAAGGCGGCATTTGCCTCTTCTTCAGCAGTACAACGTTATCGAGTGCAGGAGAAGGAGGGACATTTTCACTTGTAGCTTCAGTTTCATTGACAATCTTTTCCTTTATCTTATCATCTTTGATATCATCAGCGCGTTGAATATGTTTTAGCGTCTCCAGTACTTCATCCATTGACGGTCTGAAGTCCTTCTCAAGCTGCAAGCATTGAAAAGCTAGCTCGGCTACTGAGGTAGTCATCCTCCTAACTTCTGCATCTGATGTAAATCCCAGTGACGGATCAATCAACTCATCGAATGCACATTTTTGAATCTTCTTCATCGCTAAGTTAGCCAAATTGATCTCATGTCGATGCCTTGTAATATCAACAGCAGGCATTGATGATATAAGTTCAACAAGGACAACACCAAAGCTATAAACATCACTTTTATTAGTAAGCTGGTAACATTCATGATATTCTGGATCGACATATCCTGCTGTCCCTTGAGGAGCAGTTGAGACATGAGTAGCATCATTCGGAAAAAGTCTTGAAAGCCCAAAATCTGCAACTTTTACACAACAATTTTCGTCGAGGAGTATGTTGCTAGTCTTCACATCGCGGTGTATTATGTCAGATGCATGGAGGTAAGCCAACGCACAAGCAGTTTCTACAGCAATATTCATGCGGATAGGCCACGCAAGGAATCCGTCCTTTGCTCTATCACCATGCAAGTGATCAGCCACTGTTCCATTGGAAATGTATTCGTAAACAAGGAGGAGTTCACGGCTATGCTTTGGTGTGCAACCGAAAAGGGTAACAAGATTCCGGTGCCTTAGGCGAGTGAGAATTTCAATTTCATTCTTAAACTGCTCCATTCTCTTGCAATTGTGCTCATAAAGTCTCTTCACTGCAACTTCTCTCCCATCCTTAAGTTTACCTAGTAAGGAATGTACAAATTTAGCAAGCTGTATAAATTTAGTTACCTATTCCTGTCATTCGAACATCTATTTTTGCTTTCAAGATTCTTACCGTAATAAACAGTTCCAAAACCTCCATCTCCTAGTTCTCTGGAGGAATCAAATTTACTAGTAGCTTCTTCAAGTTCAGTGTACGAGAAGACCGGGACGCCATAATTACTACCTCCCTCATAGTCATAATTTGAGGAAGGATCAGAAAATTTGTTTCTTGATTGGAAGAATAAACAACCTTTGTGTTCGTTCTTGTAACGACAGACAATGAAGGCGACCACCAAGATTATTAACACTGCTCCACCTAAAACTGAAAAATACAAAAATGAAAGTTAACAAGATGTTGGAACTATGATCATATCTCAGATGTAGGGGATAACAATATAGCATTAACTTACCTGAGCCAAGAATCAATCCCAACTTATTTTTCCCTGAAAATGAGGTAATGTCAGACAAATCATGGAGGAGGTAGTACAGAAATGCAATGATCTGCATCTGACAAGGAAGAAAAGAGAACATATGAAATGTTTCAGTGGATAGAAATGTATATACAAGGACATGCATTTTTGAATAAGAATATTGGCTTTGGATCAGTAGGCAACTGCTCGCGGGATGTGCCATACGATCCAAGTGTTAGTAAGAAACGGACCTCCTCTAGTGCCAGATGTTGAACAAGCATCAGAAATTCCCTATATAAGTAAAACTCCATAGGTCAAAATCTTAGACAAGTTAGCACTCTTTGACCTTGAACTTTCTTCAGGCAATTGAATAAGTGAAACAGTCACCTACTCACTTTTCATGTATTATCTTATGTTCCCAGTCATACATAGCATGGAACATTTGACAACATCAAAGAAAACTTTGCAAGTCAAAGATTCTTATTTAGAATGCATTTAACTAGATAGCATTGGAAGAAAGATAGGATCAAAGGTTGAAACAGTGTAGGCACACAATCAATTGTCCTGCATTTCTGAAGCTTCTTACTTTGTGTAATTACAATTCTTGACTCCTTGCTAGAACTTAAAAGTGATCTGAAGTGAAAGTTGCTCGGACACGGGTGCGGGTGTCCGACACGGGTGCAGATCTAGAGGTCGGATCCCTTGAAATGTAAATTTTAAGATTCGGAGAAATGGATCCAGGTGCGGCGATCCGACTAAAAATAATTCAAAATAAAATAAAAATATAAAAATATATCTAAATTATGAGAAATATTGTGCACTACTTATGTACAACTTGTAAAGTGTGGATTTCTTTTTTATTCTCAAGTTGTAGATAAGTAAAGGATTGATATCCTAAATAAAGTATGCTATTTTCTTCAAATTTGTACTAATTTTGGTTCTGATTTCGGGAATTAAATTGTATCTTGTCTCGAATTTTTCCGTCTGTCATGGTCAAAGTACCCAAAATTGTTTGACCAGATCCGATAGGGATCCCATACCCACACCCATACTAGTGCCGTGTCGACACGGGTGCGGCACCTAAACTGCCGTATCGGAGCAACTTAGTTAGCAAGTAAAAGCCTAATCTTTTCAAGGATTTGAAAGAAGAATGAGTTTAAGATATTGAACCTGTTGAACAGATTAAGCTCAAGTTTTGAGCATGATATAGAATTGCTACACTATCCTCCAGACTTGCGCTTAAACAATTTTACTGATTTTAACCCCATAGAAGGGTACTTACTCTCCATGCTGTATAGTGCAGAAATGTACCATTGAGGAGTTTAGTGAAGAAGCTGTTGAAGATACATACAGGGAAAGGAATACAAGTTCAAAGGGAATTAACAACTTCATGTTAGCCTACTTCAATAAATCTTTGCAAACTATTAGCCTAGTTCTTCATATGTATCATTCGAGATGGCATCTTGGACATGAATTAACTCAGATATAGCTCAACTAATAGATGATCACAAGCGTTATTCATTTAAAGGACCTTTTGATTCTACAATTGTGTACTCAAAATGTAAACTTGAACTTGTTAATAAAGAAGGAGATTAAGTGGCCTATTAGATTGAGAAAAGAATTAAAGAAGTCCTCAATTTGTATCCTCATATACTTAACAAAATACTGCTGGTGTAACCAAAGGATTAACAAGACAAAAGATCAAACCCCAAAATGCATAGTTTAATAAGAACAAGACACCATTAATCAGATAAGTTATTAGCTGCTATAAGGATATTTCCTTGGCTGCATAAATTTTGTTGTTTTTACACATCATTAATCATCTACAGCATAATCCAAATCTCCAATTCAGCTGTATCTTGATGCCTAGATCATCAAGCAATACTTATTAAGCGCTTGGTAATCACACGAAAAGAACCTACAACGCGGTGCTAATCATAGCATAAGATTCTGAATAATTATACTGGAAATTAACAACTAGAGAGAGGCTTACTGGTAGGTTTGCAACTCGCGGAATGAGGCCTGTCAGTGCAGAAACATTTGAATTGATAAGGTTTTTCTTCAAATCCACAACGCCCTCCGCTTTCTGCACACTCACTGCAATTACTAGCTGTCCAACTCAATCTAAAACCACTTCTCAACATCAATTGATAATCAAGAACTTGATTACTTCCCTCATTTCCAAGCATTTCCACTGGTACCATTACATGATTTTTGCACATTTGTAATGCAGATTCAAAGCCTTCATCCTCCGCAAACATAGCAACACCCCATTCATTTCTATTTTCTTCACCACAACCAAAACCAATCTTGTGCTTCAAAAGATGCTCGGGTATCGACTCATTACACTTCGACAACAAATAAATTCTTGATTCATTCACATACTTAAAAGGGCGATTATCGAGTGTGATGTTCTTGATCTCAGAAACACAACCATTGCTACTAGGACTATTAAAGACTGAATTTTTCAGCTGAAAAATATGATCTTGATATGAAATCTTTTCAACTATATAATCATTTGCAGCAATATGTACAACAGGAAAACCTTGTTCACTACAATTTAACCCAAATCCAGGATATCCACAATAAGATTCTTGCTCATCTTGAATATAAAATGGAAAACTTATTTTTGGACCATTTTTGCAATTTATTGGCTGACATGCTACAAACTGAGGATCAACACCAGAACATTTACCTAGGATTAAGGAAAATATACAAAGGTTAAATGATATTATCAAAATATACCTGTTTTCTTGGTTCATTTGTAATCTTGAACAGCTCAAAATATACAACTAAACAAGTAGATAATGAAAAATACACTAAAGGGAGATGAGGGTGTTTCTTGGATTTTTCTTTTTGTTAGCAAAAAAATGGATTCATTTGATATACAAAAGTTGACTTTGTATCCACCTTAGAAAGTTGAA